CATGTAGAGAATACAGCACCTTCTTCTGGACCTCCTGGTTAGGATTAGGGTTAGGGTTCCAGTTCCCTGGTTCCAGTTCCCTGGTGCCATGCAGGATTCCCCTAGATGAAGTTGGAGGGATTCCTTGGAGATAGCTTGTAAGAGGCAAACTACACAAGCCTCTATAGTTGCTGGGTTTGCTTACATTATTCACATGGTTCAGCCAGGTGTGCAGAGGTTTTTAGACAAAAAGGTTGGACTTGCACTGAAAGACGTTCAGCATCTGAGCAACGCGCTCCTTTTCCCTCCCCCATGTCTGAACCCGTTGCAGAGGAAGATGTGTGTTATGAGAAACTTCCCAGGAATCTCCCAGGACAGGATCACGCGATCTTTTATTGAAATATTATGGAATGCAAGCCTCATTGCTCACGACAGTTTTCTGGATTTTATTTATTTATTGTCTCGGGAATGCCAAGGGATCTTAAAAATCAGAGCGCTGGACTGCACATCATTTTGTAATCCTTTCTCCTTCTTCCAGGTGAACTCTAGATCAAATACTTTGGCTCTTTGAAAATGAACAGATTGGAATGTTTTGGCCTGGGCCTGTTTCCAGTTTTCTTTTGCACAGTGTGACTGGAAGGCTTGATGGATAGTAAAACTTCCATCTTCCTTTTAAAAAAATAACATTTTTTTGAACTCGTAAGCATTCCGTTTCTCTTTTATCTCAGCTGAATTCCCCCCAAGGAGATGTAATTTTCATAAAAGAAAAGTAATGATCAACTACAATGGCTTTTTTTAAAAAATGACTGATAATTCTCGGGTATAGCACACTGGATCTGAAAAAGGAGCTTCTTCGAAAGCTTTGGGAAGCAACCCAACTTTTGACTCAGGCCGTGTTCACACTAGCAAAGACTTTGGCTTCCTCCCACACAACTTGTTAAATGGCACAAGAGCTGACTTCGAAGGTGCCCCCGGAATGCGCACTTTGTTTAAATTATCCTCTCAACGTGTGTACCCTGCTTTTCTTTATCAAACAAACTCATAAGAACTTGACAGAAAAGTTCAGAACACACATAAAACACCAGTAAAAGAGTCCAGCTAACCGAATCAAATTTCATTCAGTAAAACCAAGAGCAGGATAAAACAATTCAGCAGAAAAAAAGAAAACAAAAAACAGGGGAGACAACATTTATTTATTTATTTATTTATTTATTAATTAAAACTTTTTCAGACTGTCCCTTTCCGTAGTTTCAGGATGGTTTAACAATAAAACAACATTTTAGGCTGCACTAAAAACTGGGGTTCCCCAAGCATGGCCAGAAACTGCCTGGAGCGGCAATCAAATGTGACTTCAATACTGGCAGTACTTGAGCCTAGTTTGCTCAGGACAAATTGTGTGGTATATAATGGAGCAAAGCTCAGGGAGCCAAGGTTCCACTTGGATGCCAGGAAGCGCTTCCTGACAGTCAGGACCCCGAGGGTGTGGAATGGGCTTCCACGGGAGGTCGTTGAGGCCCCATCGGTGCGGGTGTTCAAGGACAGGCTGGACGTCCACATGGTGGGCATGTTGTGAGCGGAGCCGGCTGGAGCCGGAGGTCAGACTAGATGGCCCGGGAGGCCCCTTCTGACTCGCTGTGTTTCTATGTTTCTATTTATTATATTTATATGCTGCCTTTTCCCCCTGCAAGTCACCCAAGGCAGCTTACAGAATCCACCTTTCCATTGTATCCTCAAAACAGCCCTGGGGGTGTAAGTTGATTTGAGAGTCAGTGGCTGGTCCCAAGTCATCCAGTCACTTCATGGCTGAGTGGGGACTAGAAGCGGGATCTCCTAATTCCCAGTGCTCCCATCGCTATGCCTCCCCAGCTCTCAGAGGGGAATACAGGAAGTGCCCGCGTGGTGCAGTGGTTAAGAGCACGGGCTTGGGATTCAGGTGATCTGGGTTCAAGTCCCCACTCAGCCTTGGAGTCAACTGGGTGACTCTGGGCCAGTCAAAAACTCTCAGCCCAGCCTACCTCACAGGGTTGTTGTTGTGGGGATAAGATTGAGAGCAGGAGGAGGAGAATGATGTAAGCTGCTTTGAATTCTTTAAAAGAAAAAAGCAGGATATAAATCTTACTACTGCTACTTCTTCTTCTTATTATTATTTATAAGACTTGCGGGGAGATTGCCACTGCTGCCTCCCGACTTTCCAGCCTCCGCTGCCTGAGGCCGTCACAGCACTTTAGCTAATGGCAGAGCCGGTCCTGCTGAAAACTTGGTGCTATAAAAGCAGTGTAGCAGCTTGCCCAGAGCTTGAACGCAAGCAAATGACTGCAGCTCACTAGGAGGGGAGTTCCTCTCCCGCACTTTGGTGCAGAGAAGTTTAGCAGATGCTGTGCTGGAGAATGACCAAGGCTGGCTCCGTGCTCGAGGGTCCTGGCTTGAGAGTCCTTGGCAAAATGGCCTTTGGCAAACCCTTCGCTACTGCAGCTGCAGCTATGTCACCATAGCCTAACCTGCTGGCCGTGGCAGGCCTCCGTTCAGCGATGAAACGAGGAGAGGAGGCTGAACTGTGGAAAAGGAAACAACAAGGGAACAAAAGATAAACAGTTTCATGTACCCATGAAAGAGGCTTTAGTACTGACTGCGTGTTTTGAAAATACCCTTGTTACAATGCAGCGGACACACACACACAAATGCAATCACTTAGTATCGCTACCCAGAAGAAATCTAAACACACAACATTCTGCTAGTGTTCCTTTGCCCAGGAGCTCTTTTGCTCATGGTCTTTTCCCCGTGGCCCCTCGGCACTTTGGATCCCTTCTTCTCTCTTGGCTTCCTTTTCCAGGCCTACACTGCAGCCTCCAGGCATTAAATTTTGCACCGTGTCCCTGAGATATTGGCATTCTCAGAATTGTGACGGGGGCACCAGGTGGCTGCCTAGCCCTGACCCGCATAATTTATTTTTAAAATATCTTCCTTAATCTGGGAGGCTGGGGTATTGCAACATGAAGTGCCGCCCTCCAATACCATCTCTATTTCCAAAAATAAGCTGGAGGTTGTAGGGACCATCCTGGGGAGCAGGTGTGTGTGCTTCTCTGAATGTCACCACTTTGTTGTTGTTAGTTGCGAAGTCGTGTCCGACCCATCGCGACCCCATGGACAACATTCCTCCAGGCCTTCCTGTCCTCCACCATCCCCCAGAGTCCACTCAAGCTCACACCAGCTGCTTCAGTGACTCCATCTAGCCACCTCATCCTCTGCCATCCCCTTCTTCTTTTGTCATCTGTTGTTCCCAGCATTAGGCTCTTTACTGTCTGTGAAATGGGTTGAAGCAGAAAACCTAGGGTTCAAGAGAGAGGGGTTGTCTTTTTGGCACTCGGCCCTCACGTCTGCCTACTCCTTCTCAGGCAGCTGGTTCCATTTAAGGGCACTGGTTTTCTCTCTGGGAAAAGAGAATGGGAATGGTGACACCATGGCCATTTTGACCCTTTTGAAAGCCCAAAAGATTGGGGACACCTACAGGGGCCACTGCGGGGTATAAAAATGGCAACAGTCCTCTCCAACCAGCATGAAGACTGGGTGTTCATCCCCACACCCTCATGTCCACCTCTTCCCAAAAGACAAGCAGCTGGGGAGATCCATATCACCCAGCCAGTTGTATCAGTTTTCATCTTCATGAGGACCAGATCCTTTGCAGAGCTGTAATTATCTACTCAAGACCCAGCTAGTGCAAAATGCACAGCATAACAAGTGGGAAAACAGTGGCAAGGAAGATGCATCTCCCTCCACGGCTACAGAGGGATTTGCCATAATGACTACAGGATGATGGGGCCTGTAGTCCGACATGTCTTGAATGTATCAGTACTGGGTTGGGGAAGGTTGCAGTATAATTGGCTGTTTGGTGACAACAACAAAGGGACAGGGCATTCTCTGTGGTGGCTCCCACCCTGAGGAACGAGCTCTCCTTTGAAGTACATTGGACTCAGCGCTCGCTGCATGTAGCTTGGCATTGTTTGAACCGGTGCTGGGCAACAATGGAAGGGTGCTTCACTCACAGAAATACCCAGAAACTAACCATGCACCCCTACTGCTGAGCAAGCGGGGATGGGCGCTTTAAGGCTCCCCTCCCTTCCCAATGAGATAGGATTGCTGGGAGTGGTCTGAGGCGTTAAAAGGCTTGGAAGGGATACCACCTGTTGCCATTTGCGGTTCCCCAGGGGAAGAAAGGTGGTATCAAGTCGGTACATAAAGGTAAGCTATAAATGCAAGAAATATATTGAATTGCGAGCTGCATTCTTGTGCCTCCTTGCCTGTGAGGAACGCTCAGAGCAGCTCCAGAACAGCCGCTTTTTCCTCCCGGCCAGGCGGTCTGCCTAGATCTCCCCGGGAGTAAGGCTGCCTGCGTTCAATGGGCCTCAACCCTGGGGAACACGGGACTGCATTTACAGCCCGCTGTCCTAGGTCTACTTCGCCAATCTCAAAGGGACTGACTTCTGAGCGGAGATGCTTTTGAAACGTATTAATTACATTAATATCCTGCCTTTCCCCGGCCTCGGTCCAACTCTTCAGCCACGACACCGCAGTGGGTTGAACCTGGCTTTCCGAAAAGTTGCAAGCGAATGGAAGGATGCGAGGAGGAGAAGCAAGGGGAAAAAGCGAGCCGGGCGGTAAACAAGCGCCCGGCCCGGCCCGGCCCGGCCCCAGCAAGGCGCTCCAGCGCCGGCCCGGGGCCTCTCTCCATGGCTCTGAGTTCTGCTGCTTGCGCCTGGCTGGAAATGAAATACACCAAAGTCGTCGCCGCTTCTATTTTTTTGGAGACTCCAAAAGGATCCGGCTTGCCTTTCATGTACCGCCTCGCGCCAATAGGAATCCAGAGGCTGCCTGCGAGTGGTCTAATCTCAATGAGGTGTCAATCATGTTCCCCGGTGGGTGAAGTAAGGTCTTTTGTAACCGCCTCTGTCTTTGGGAAGAAGGGGGGAAAGACGACGAGGGGAGAGCGCGGCGACGCAGCGGCAGCGAGAGCGCGGCGTCCGGGGCTGCTTGGCTGAATGCACGGGCGCAGTTGCGCGTCTCTCGCTCGCTCGCTCTCTCTCTCTGCATTTTCTCCTCGTTGCATTCAGCACGGAGCGGCCAGACCGGGGCACATGGATTTCTAAAAGGGAGACGCAGGGCAGGCGGGACCCGCTTGGAATCGCGAGCCTCTCGGATCGTGCGAAAGAGCGAGCCGAAGAAAGGCGATGAACTCTGCAACTCAGCCCTGACTTGGAACCGCTCTCCAATGCCCTCGCATTGGCAGATTCGTGCAGAGAGATGGGAAAACTTCACTCGAAACATGGTAAGTTCCTCGCTGCGGAGGGCTTAAAATGGAGCGGGGGTGGGCGGCTGGGCAGGGAAAGCGCCGTGGGTCTGCCGCCGAACTCGCCGGGGTGGGGACGTGTTTGTGTTTGTGTTTCAGCGACTGCGATCTAACCGTCTTGTTTCCACCCCCCTCCCCATTCTCTTTCCCCACGGATCGCCTTAGCTGCTGTTTGTAAACCCCGAGAGAGCCCGGAAGGTAAGCGCTGCTCTTTATTTGTGGTCATAGCAACTTTAATCCTTTTTGCCTTCCCCTCGCCCCCTCCCAACTTTTCCCTCCTCTCTCAAAAAAGAAGTTCCCCGTGCGCATTCTTTGGTGCGTAGATGCGCAGGGGTGCAACCCCCGGTGCTTGTTCTGTTCTCTGACCCCTTCCACCCCCCCCCCCCAACGTGTTGTGTGGAAGCTGAGGACTGTGGAGGTAGCTCGGGACATAAAGGGGTGGGGGGTATCCTTTCTGGAGTGGCAGCTGTGTCCAATTCTGCCTTTGCTCTTTCTTTCCCCACTACCCAGGTGATAGTTTTGCAGTGAATACTTCACTGGCTCGGAAAGGGCTGGAGGACTGGATGGTGAACCAGAAACACTTCGGCAGTGGAAGCAGTAGCGAAGGGAGCAGCTTGGGACTCCAGCGGGGCTTACAGCATCGGGCCCTCTGCAGGCTGTCCGGCTCCAGGGTAAGTTCTGGATTCCTTCTCTTTGCGCCCCCCCCCCCCACCCCAGCTTGAATTTCCATCCTGGGGTTCTTCTCGTCTGATCTTTGCTTTAGGGGAGAGAGACTCTTTCCTTGCCCTTCTCCCCACCCGCTTGGAGTTATTGTGCCTTTGGGAAGTTGTCTGCCAAGTTGATTCCATGCATCCCCCCCCCCCCTTTGAAGGAAGTTGTGCGTCTGCCAAGACCAAACTCTGTTCTGGCAAACAGGAAAGCCTTTCTTCTTAGGTTAAAAAGATTTGGGTTCTTCATGAATGGACAAAGTAGGTGGAACCTCTCCAAGCCAGATGGTCATTGTAAAGTTCTCAGATACCAAAACATTCTAAGGGGGGGGGGGAGCAGGTGTGTGTGTTTGTGCATGAGTTGAGGGCCTCATATCTTGTCTGGTGTCTTGTCACTTATTTATGATCCAACTAACTTGAGATGTAATAATCAATGAGCTTTTCCTGAGGAGGTCTGGGTGGGATGAGTTCCCTGGAGCTTTTGCCGACAGTGCCATTTGTCAGTTCTTGTGTCCGGCTACTTTAAGGCACATGAGTTCTCTCTCTTCCCCTTTGAAATTCTCCCAAGTGCATTGAGAGGGCTGTTCTTTCTCTTGTTTGGACCTCACTCGCTCCCCACTTTGCCTTTTGAAAAGGAAGGAAGTAGAGGCAAAAGAGAATGGGGAGCTCTCTATTGTTCTCTAGGCCATTGTTCGAAGGCTGATACAAGTAAGGCGGCTTCTGGCCCCGGTGGCCTTCGGACAGCTTATTTGAGCCAGACCGTTGCAAACCCCATGTGGGAGAACGCACAAGCCCAAGCATCTTGGTGTCAGAGTGGTATCCTAGCCAGAATGGTGCGCGGGGAAAGCTTTTGCGTGTGGAGTATCAGTTAGCCAAAGGTTAAAAAGCAAAACGTGTTGGGCAAGGTAATTATCTATTTTATGCCTGCCTTGCAAGTTTTATCTTGAGAAAGTTTCAGGCAATCATACTATGCATAGTTACAGAGCAGCAAGTTGAACAAAGTGCTTCCCCATGAGTAAAATGTGCATGGGAGAAAGCTGTCACCATATTTAGTTGTTAACTTCAGGAGTGTGTTTTCCAGTCTTTCCTCCCCATCTGGATTTTTCTTTTTCTCATCTTCAAAAACAGGCAAGGGATGAAAGGAGGTGTCTTCAAAAGTTAAAAAAAAATAAGGAAGAGACATATAGATTGTAACTTTCCTGAGAAGCCAGTTCAAATGATGGGTTAGTTAACTATGTCAAAACTTTGCCGTATCCCTGGCTTATGCTTTGGTCGGTCTTCTACAACTTGGTACGCTTCATGTGTGTTAGACTACCACTCTTAGGATTCTTCACCATTAGCCATGCTGGGTGGGGTTGATGGGAGCTGATGCCTAGAACGTCACATTGGAGAAGAATGTCTTGGATGACCCAGGAGAAGAAAAGTGTTCGTGACATCACTAGAATGCTTGAGCGAACCCTTCAGAAAGACTCTAGCAGTAGTTGGGTCCAGGTGTGTGATGAAGCCTTAATCTGTCTGATACCTGCTTGGACATTTGTCTCCATGATTTATTTCTTTGTAGTTAGTTTGGTTTGCTCTCTGGGTTGCTGGCATTTGCACCGTGCTGATTAGAGGAGATTATTACACTGTTTCTGGCTGATGATTTTCTAGTGGCAGGTGAGTGTTGATCTGATGACTTGTGGGTTAAAGCAGGCTTGTAAATGTATCCCCTACTAAGGATATGAACTACCAAGTTAGTAGTCCATATGGACCTTTGCTATCTATCTGTTGCTGGAGAGAGGAATCGGGCAGACTCCTATCATGTTAGCAAACCAACCAACCAAGATACCAGTGAAAACACCCTAAAGAGCTCATATCATTTAGTGGCATCAATGGTGGCTCATCAGGTTGTTATTTCAATTAAAAGTGGCATCCTTGCTTTTTTCCCTTTAGGTGAGCTATGCAGCATCCCATCCAGGTGACTTCATTAAGTGAAGGGAGAAAGTTATCTGACCTTGTAGTAGGCTATGAGTTATTGTTATTCTTCTAGATGAAAAACTTCTCTGTACATTCTGTGTTCTTGTGGTGATAACTTTAGCAGCCACTGTTCTATATATCTTGAAAGGTTGTTGTTTAAGTTCAGGCGATTTCTGGCCAACTGGCTTATATGTAGATTGTTTGTGTCTATTTCTTTACAGGGAGCTACTTGAGCCAAGCTTTGGGAACTGTGGAACATGTCCGTGACATATTTCTTTTAGGAAAAGAACTCCATGGGAGCTGAATAAGGCATAGTTTAAATGTAAGGGGAAAGCTTCATGCAAGGGTGTATGTGGATCCTCTTATCTGCAATATCCCAGAACATATTAAACCTGTACCCAAATGTGCTTTCCAATGAACAGCTCAGCAATTAGGTTAATTGTTCATACATTTTGGTATACCACCATTTGGTGTGGCCTAGAAGTGCTTTTTCAACTCTAATTGCTTCCTAATGTTTCAAACACAAAGCGTTGAAACATAGTGCTTCCAATTAATAACAATGACAATAATTCATCTATACACTCAATCCTATTCTCATTTTGCTCATGCTTTTCTTTTGGAAAGGAGATGGAATACATAGACAAGGTCATTAGGAAAATACTTACAGTGGACTGAATGTGGAGCAGATTGAGTCATGGCGGCCTTAAATTGTGTGGATTGGTCACATCTCGGTTCCTTTTCCAAAGTGGTCTGGATCCTTCCCATTATGTGGAGTTACAAAGCAAGGGTTGTAGTCCCATTAAAATGAGTGGAACTTAGGTGAGACTCGGATAGGAAGTAACTCAAAGACAGGAAGGGATATGACTGTAGTACAGCTCTCATTACTCCTGATATTTGGCTATGCAAGCTGCAGGTATAAAACCAAGTCTGCCCAGGTCTTAAGATCTTTGGAAGAAGCTCTTCTTTCAAGATCAGCCCCTGCAAAGGCACGTTTGGTGGTGCTTTGAGAGAGGGACTTCTTGGTGGTCTGTCCCAAGCTGTGGAACCCTCTGCTGAGAGAGACTAGACGCAAAGGCCTTTTTATTCAAACAGGTCTTTGATGCATACTCCAATCCATTGGTTTGGATGCTTTTTCTATCCTCTTGTTATGTTCTCAGTTGTCTTTTAATGTCTTCATTTTATTATCACTTGGCTAAAGTTTCCATGTCCATGAGATGTAGCCGCTTGGTCAGCTTTAAAAGGGGGATTGGACACATTCATGGAGAAGGAATTGGCTATCCATTAGCTGTGTTGGTTGTGATAGCTGCAGGTAGTTTGCCTGTATATATCCCCTGCTGGAGATCTTGGGCAGAGAGGTGCTGTTATACTCATTGTTGTGGGCAGCTGGCTGGGCCAGATGAACCCTGAGTATAATCCAGCAGGGCTCACCTTATCTTCTAGGTTTGACTTGTAATTGCAAGATGCCTTGGTGCCGTTTGTAGCAGTAGAAAGGTGATGTATGAATAAATAAAACCTTTGTAGTGCCGTAGGTTGAGTAAAACTCTTGAAGGGTCATTTGGATTCCCCTGGAGGCCTTGTCCGTGTTGTAGAGCACATGATGCACAAGCAAAGCACTTCAGGTATTGACCACCCTTCCAAAGTCTCACTGTCGTCATAATTTATCATCTACATTTTGTAGGTATACTTCTGTATTCATAATGGGGCATAGCGAAATGCTTTGGAAGTCTAATATTTGTATTGCAAATAAGGCAGTTTCCTCAAGCTACTCTTTCTCCTGAACTAGTTCCCATAAGAATCGAAGGGCATGGGTTTTCCCCAGTGTGGTGCTCACCGGTTCCTGGTATTCTTGATCATTGCTGGCTGTGCCATCTGGAACTTATGGCCATGGGAGTGCAAAACAAAAGAGTGGCAAGGGCGTTGGTTGCAGGAGTCAGTTTCCATTCATATGCTCCAAAAATGGAGTTTTATTCATGGTTATTTTGCAGTGCAATCCTGTAGCCTTAACGAAGGACACTGTGTTCACACAATGTGACAAGCAACCCTGCGTGGTTACCATGGTTTGTGGATTTTTACCAAGCTCTACCCAACAGATGATCAAGTGGTTTCTACACTATTGTGGTTTCCATCCTCCGAGTTGAGTCTTCCCACTGCTGGCATGTATCCTGTCATCCTATCATCCACCCTTCTTTTCCAGGGACTCCATGGTAGCTGAATACCAGGACCGTGAAAATCACGATCCTGGGTTCAGACAACATGACAAGCCATGGTGGTATGGAGAAACCGATTGCTTGTTACCAGGACCAGACTTACCGCTGTGAAATACCATGACGGGGTTTGGGCCACATTACAGACCAATAGTGGTAAAACAACCAGCATGGCTTGTTGTGTGGTCTGAACAGTGACTAGAGGGCTGTAGGAGTTTTCAGAGTTGCTTATCCGATGTCAGAGCTGAGACTTCATGCTTGGAGCACCCTCTGGCACAGCGAGAACCATGTTGGCGGCTTCCCTGAGGTCCCAGAAGCAACCCTGGTGAAGAGGATTAGTGGATGCTCTTGGTGACAGAGAGGGAAGGAGCACAGCGCTCCCAAGGTAGGCGGTATCCTGAGAGGGCCTCAGCCTGTTTCCTCCTGCTTCAAAGTGCCACAGGGAGAGATCTGAAATCAGATGACTAAGCCCTTTGCAGGGTGGAAGAAACAGGCAGGAGATCCTTGCTTCTGCAGACCTTTCACCCTGCCTAGGATGCCCTTAATCCTCCAAATACACGGAGAGCTACAGGCAGCCCCGTAGGAGTGCACTTCCCTTGGTGTGTACTTCCAGTAGGAGCAGAGTAAACGGAGATCCTCAACGCGTGTTCGACCTCACAGAAATATTCTCTTGGATTTTATTTAATAGGATTGGAAAGTATTAAAGGGTGGGGGAAATGCTGGAAGGTATCTCGTAAGCAACTTTTTAATGAGCTGGTCAGCTTTCTAGGAATGTCAAATGAACCAACTCTTGATCCGCTTCTA